TTTCATGTGCTGATGGTTTCAAAAATTATACTTCGTTGATGTTGCTACAAGGGGCAACCAAGGCATCAAAAAGCCCATTGGCGACGTCCTTCGTCTTCTGGTTCTTACAGTGAGCGCTAACATCTCTTCGTACGCAGCTCTTGTAGCCTGTGGCAAGACTGAAACCCCACATTCATCCACTACCCCATCCAACAACCCCCCAAAAATACTCACGTGCAAATTTCAGCCTGTGTTGGAATGTCGTCTTTACCCTCATATTTTTGAGTAAACTGATCTAACTTCTGTTCGCATTCATCATTTTCGTTTTCTTCCGAATCTTCCCACAGGCACGGATTCGCCAGTTCTGCAAAAACCTAATTACTATTCAGCTCTTGTAACCAACTCTCTGCCAACCGAAAATCGCCTCTCCAGATTGTTTGCACAAGAAATCGGCAACGGAAACCAAACTCTTGAGACCCAGAGTGGGAAGACCTTTGGCGTTTTGCGGAAGACAGTCGTCGATCACCTTAAGCAACGGTGCGGTGCAGTTCAAGGTGTAACTCTGGATGGATTCGCAAATCGTCAAGGAGTCGTCGACTTTGTCGTCACATTCCACGAAGGATTTGACGGCTGCTTTCAGTTTCGGGGTGACTCCGGGGCATTTTTGTTCCAGCTTGTCCAAGCCTTCGTCAAGGTGTTCCTTGTTTTGGTTGAGGAGCTTCTTGACGTGTTTGGACTTGACTTTATCGATGACTTCTTCGCTGGAATCGCACCTCACGCTGTTGATGACTGGAAATTATCAGCAGGTTTTGTTTTAAAAAATTATCGGTTTTTTAAAGGTTTTAACTTACCAGCGAATAGGGCAAAAGCGACGAAAATGTATTTGTTCATGGTGGTCGTTTTCAACTCAACTGTTGCTAAAAATTAAAATTGTCGCTTTATATATGAAACCGCCATCGATTATCCGATGCAATTATTCCATGCGCTGGTGTGAAAGGTTATCGTTTTTATAAAATAACAACACCCATTATATATAGATTAATATCTAACTCATTGTTTTTTATCGCTGAGTTCCTGGTGTTAGAAATAAAAGAAGCTGGTACGTTTTTATCTCAACTAGGAAAGTATTGCAAAATACTATTAGACAATAGCTAGTTTAAAGTTTTCTCGATGTTTCATAGCTAGTACAATTTGAAAAAGTACGTCCCCCGTTTACGTGTGTTTGTTTACTGTGGCGATTTTTAAACACGTAAGCTCCGAAAATGCTGGAATAATTGTGCTAAACAAAATTGGTCTGTACATCCCCACCATAAATTTGATGGCGTCATCTCCAAATTTGACTAAAGAAGCCATATCTGAATTCTCTGCCTCTAATTTACATGATTTATAATGATGAAATTAAAATTCTCAGTGTGTTTTTTTAAAGCTAAAGAATCTGGATGCACCCTAATTTCTTTTTTTTTTAATGTCAACAAATTCTCGGGGACCCCTACTGTGTTTTTTTAATGCCAAAGCGGAATCCCTAGTGTCTTTTTATTAATGGCAAAAAATCTCGGAGAACCTTAGTATGTTTATTTAATCTCAAACCAAACTCAGGGGTCCCTAGTGTCTTTTTTTAAATGCCAAAACTTTTCGGGAGCTCCCAGAGTCTTCTTTAAATGCCAACAATTTTTGAGAGACCCCAGTGCCATTTTAAACGCCAAAGAATCTCAGAAACCCATAGTCTATTTTTCTAAGTGCTAAAGAATCTCGGGGACTCTTTGTGGGTGTTTTTTTTTAATGCCAAAATGTTTAGGGAACCACTAGTGCGTTTTTTTTAATGCCAGAGAATCTCGAGAAATCATAATGTCTTTTTTTAGTGGCATAGAATGTCAGAGGTTCTTAGGGTCTTTTTTTAAATGCCAAAATTCTTCGGAACCTCCAGTGCCTTTTTAAATCTCGGAGATCTCTGGTGACATTTTTTGATACCAAATAAGAGCCTCGGAAACCCCTAGTGTATTTTAGTTCCAAAGAATCTCGGGGATCCTTAGTGTGTTTTTTTAAATGCTAAAGTATCTCGAGATTCCCTAGTGTCTTTTTTTTAATGGCAAAAAATTTCAGGGTTCTTAGGGACCTCTTTTTTGAAATGCCAAATAATCTTGGGAACCCTCATAATCTTTTTAAATGTCAAATACTTAATCTAGGGAAGCACTAATAGTGTGTTTCCTAAATTCAGAAGAATCTCGGATGCCAAACAGACGAGGTGATCCTTAGTGTCTTTTTCTAATTCCAAAAAATCTCGGAGAACCCTATTGTGTTTTTTTTAATGCCAAAGAGTTTCAGGAACCTCTAGTGCTTTTTTTTGAATACCTAAAAATCTCGGGGACCTTAGTGTCTTTTTTTAATATAAAACCAAACTCTGGGGTCCATAGTGCCTTTTTTTAAATGGCAAAACTTTTCGGGAGTTCTCAGTGTCTTTTTTTAAATGTCAAAGTTTCTCAGGGATCCCTAGTGTGCCTTTCCAAATGCCTAAGAATCTCGAGGAACTCTAGTGTCGTTTTTTTAATGTGTAAGAATCTCGGGACTTTCTAGTTTGTTTTTTTTACGTTAAAGAAACTCTGTGACTCCTAGTGACTTTTTTTTAAATGTCAAATAGTCTCGGAAACCCACAGCATCTTTTTTGTAATGTCAAGAATCTCGGGAGCCATTAGTGTCTTTTTTATGCCAAAGTATATCCAAAACCCATACTGCCTTTTTTTAATGCCAAAGATTCTCGGGTGTTCCTAGTGTCCATTTTTAAATGCCAAAAATTTTTGAGAGACCCCAGTGCCGATTTAAACGCCAAAGAATCTCAGAAACCCATAGTCTATTTTTCTAAGAGCTAAAGAATCTCGGGGACTCTTTGTGTGTTTTTTTTAATGCCAAAATGTTTAGGGAACCACTAGTGTGTTTTTTTTAATGCCAAAGAATCTCAGAAGGGTTCTACAGCCTTTTTTTTAATGCCAAAAAATCTCGAGAAACCATAATGTCTTTTTTTAGAGGCAAAGAATGTCAGAGGTTCTTAGGGTCTTTTTTTAAATGCCAAAATTCTTCGAAACCTCCAATACCTTTTTAGATCTCGGAGATCTCTGGTGTCTTTTTTTTTGATACCAAATAAGAGCCTTGGAAACCCCTAGTGTATTTTAGTTCCAAAGACTCTCGGGGATCCTTAGTGTGTTTTTTTTAAATGCTAAAGTGTCTCGAGAGTCCCTAGTGACTTTTTTTAAATGGCAAAAAATTTCAGGGGTCTCAGAGACCTCTTTTTTGAAATGCCAAATAATCTTGGGAAGCCCCATAACCTTTTTAAATGTCAAAGACTCTGGGGAAGCACTAATAATGTGTTTCCTAAATTCGGAAGAATCTCGGATGTCAAACAGACTAGGTGATCCCTAGTGTCTTTTTCTAATTCCAAAAAATCTCGGAGACCCCTATTGTGTTTTTTTTAATGCCAAAGAGTTTCAGGAACCTCTAGTGTTTTTTTTTTGAACACCTAAAAATCTCGGGAACCTTAGTGTCTTTTTTTAATATAAAACCAAACTCTGGGGTCCATAGTGCCTTTTTTTAAATGGCAAAACTTTTCGGGAGTTCTCAGTGTCTTTTTTTAAATGTCAAAAATTCTCAGGGTTCCCTAGTGTGTCTTTCTAAATGGCTAAGAAGCTCGAGGAACTCTAGTGTCGTTTTTTTAATGTGTAAGAATCCCGGGACTTTCTAGTTTGTTTTTTTTTATGCTAAAGAATCTCATTGACCCCTAGTGACTTTTTTTAAATGCCAAATAGTCTGGGAAACCCACAGCGTCTTTTTTTTAATGTCAAATAGTCTCGGAAACACACAGTGTCTTTTTCTTAATGTCAAGAATCTCGGGAGCCATTAGTGTCTTTTTTTATGCCAAAGTATCTCCAAAACCCATACTGCCTTTTTTTAATGCCAAAGATTCTCGGGAGTTCCTAGTGTCTATTTTTAAATGCCAAAAATTTTTGAGAAACTTCAGTGCCGTTTTAAACGCCAAAGAATTTCAAAAACCCATAGTCTATTTTTCTAAGTGCTAAAGAATCTCGGGGACTGTTTGTGTGTTTTTTTTAATGCCAAAATGTTTAGGGAACCACTAGTGTGTTTTTTTTAATGCCAAAGAATCTCAGAAGGGCTCTACAGCCTTTTTCTTAATGCCAAAAAATCTCGAGAAACCATAATGTCTTTTTTTAGAGGCAAAGAATGTCAGAGGTTCTTAGGGTCTTTTTTTAAATGCCAAAATTCTTCGAAACCTCCAATACCTTTTTAGATCTCGGAGATCTATGGTGTCTTTTTTTTATACCAAATAAGAGCCTCGGAAACCCCTGGTGTATTTTAGTTCCTAAGAATCTCGGGGATCCTTAGTGTGTTTTTTTAAATGCTAAAGTATCTCGAGAGTCCCTAGTGTCTTTTTTTTTAATGGCAAAAGTTTCAGGGGTCTTAGGGACCTCTTTTTTGAAATGCCGAATAATCTTTTGGGAACCCTCATAATCTAGTAGTGTGTTTTTTTTTAAAGCCAAAGAATCTCGGGAACCGTTGGTGTGTTTTTTTATATGCCAAAATGTCTTGAGAGCCTCTAGTGTATTTTCTAAGTGCCTAAGGAACTCGGGAGACCCTAGTGTCTTTTTTTTTAATACCCAAGCATGTCGAGGACCTAGGGACGGTATTTTTTTACAAATCAAAAATCTTGGTAACCCTCAGTATCTTTTAAATGTTAAAGAATCTCGGGAACATCTAGTTTATTTTTTATGTTGGACTGACCAACGAATAAGGGCAAAAGCGACGAAAATGTGTTTGTTTATGATGATCTTCTTTAACTCAATTGTTGCTCAACATTGGAAAATATCTCTTTATATATGACACCTCTACTGATTATGCGATGAAACTATTCCAGACATGGAAAGTCATCGTTTTTAAGCATAAATCAAACTCCAGGAAAAAGTTAAAAACCATTTTATTTTAAACAGATAAAAACCATATTTCATGTACAGATAGTTTCAAACATTACACTCATTAATGTTGCTACACGGTGCAACCACAGCATCAAGAAGTCCATTAACGACATCCCTCGTCTTCTGGTTCTTACAAAGACCGTCAACATCTCTCCGTACGCAGCTCTTGAAGCCTGTGGCAAGACTGAAACCCCACATTCATCCACTACCCAATCCAACAACCCCCCAAAATACTCACGTGCAAATTTCAGAGCGTGTCGGAATGTCGTCTTTACCTTCATAGTTTTCAATAAACTGATTTATCTTGTGTTTGCACTCATTATTTTCGTTAGTTTCTTCCGAATCTTCCAACAGACACGGATTCGCCAGTTCTGCAAAAACCTAATTACTATTCAACTCTTGTAACCAACGCTCCAACAACCGAAAATCGACTCTCCAGTTTGTTTGCACATGAAATCGGCCACGGAAAGCAGGCTCTTGACACCCAGAATGGGAAGACCTTTAGCGTTTTGCGGAAGACAGTCGTCGATCACCTGAAGCAACGGTGTGATGCAGTTCAAGGTGTAGCTTTGGATGGATTCGCAAATCGTCAAGGAATCGTCGAATTTCTCGTCACATTCGATGAAAGATTTGACGGCTGCTTTCAGTTTTGGGCTAACTCCGGGGCATGTTTCCTCCAGCTTTTCCAATCTTTCGTCAAATTTTTCCATGCTTTGAGTGAGGAGCGTTTTGACGTATTTGGGCTTGACTTCTTCGAGGACTTCTTGGCACCTCACGCTGATAAAAACTGGAAATTGTGTTAAAAAAATATATTTTTTCATAAATTTTGAACTTACCAGCGAATAGGGCAAAAGCGACGAAAATGTATTTGTTCATGGTGGTTGTCGTTGACTCAACTGTTGCTAAAAATTGGAAAATGTCGCTTTATATATGGAACCTCCATCGACTATCCATATGCAGTTATTCCATGCGGTGGTGTGAAAGATGATTATCATTTTTACGAAAAAACAACCATTATACGGGGTGATTCAGCCTAAATGATGAATGTAATTTGTGGTTGGCGACAACTCGAAATACATTATTCATTTATTCCTCGATTCACACTAGATTTCAAAAATATCATAAATCCACGATTGTGGTTTTAAAATCGTCAAAACAAAGTGTCACTGTCACGCATTACATTTAAACTAAAACTTGATGGGAATAGTTCTCAGAAAACGAACCTACTGTTTTTTTTTTAATGCCAAAGAGTCTCAAGTATCCCTGGTGTCTTTTTTTAACGCCAAAATATCTCGGGGACCCCTAATGTGTTTATTTTAATATCAAACCAAACTTAAGGATCCCTGGAATGTTTTTCTAAGTGTCACAGGATCTCGAGGACCTCTAGTGTTGTTTTTAAATGTCACAGAATCGCGGAACTTCCTAGTATATTTTTTTATACTAAAGAATCTCGGTGGCCCCTAGTGAGTCCTAGTGACGTTTTTTAAATGTCAAAAAGTCTCGGGAACCCACAGTGTCTTTTTTTAATGCCAAAGAATCTTGGTAACCAGTAGTGCCTATTTTTAATGCCAAAGATTCTCTTGAGTGCCTAGTGTCTTTTTTTAAGCGAATCGAGATTTAAAGAATTTCGGAAGCCTCTAGTCTATTTTTTAGTGTCAAATTATCCCGGGAGCTCCTAGTGTATTTTTTTAATTACCAAATAATCTCGGGGATACCTAGAGTGTTTTTTTCTAAATGCCAAATAGTCTCGGAAACCCCTAATGTGTTTCTTTAATGACAAAGCATCTCAGGGGCCACTAGTGTCTTTTTTTAAATACCAAAGAATCTCGGGGACCTCCCTAATGTCTTTTTTAAATGCCAAAAAAATCTCAGAAGCCGCCAGTGTCTTTTTAAATGCCAAAGAATCTCGGGGACCCTTAGAGTATATTTTTAAATGCCAAAGTGTCCCGGGAACCCCTAGTGCATTTTTTAAGTGACAAAGAATCTGGAGGGTCCTTAGTGTGTTTTTTAAATGCCAAAGTTTCCCGGAAACCCTTGTGTATTTTCTAAGGACCAAAGAATCTAGGGGACCCTTAGTGTGTGTTTTTTTAATGTCAAATCTCGGAGGAGCTCTACTGTCTTTTTTTAAATGCCAAAGAATGTCAGAAAACCCTAGTGTGGCAAAGAATGTGAAGGGTCCCTAGTGTCTTTTTTAAATGCCAAAAAATCTTAGGAACCCTGAGTGTCTTTTTAAATGCCAAAGAATCTCGAGCACCTATGGTGCAATTTTTTTTAAATGCTAAGATATGTCGGGAAACTCTTAATGTCTTAATTCCAAAGATTCTCGTGGATTCATGGTGTCTTTTTTTCAATTCCAAAAAATCTGAGGAGCCTCAGTGTATTTTAAAATGCCAAATAATCTCAAGGACATCTGGTGTAATTTTTTTTTCATACTAAGGTGTGTCGGGAAACCTTAGTGTCCTTTCTTAATTCCAAAGATTCTTGGGGATTCGTAGTACCTTGTTTTAAATGCCAAAAAATCTCGGGAGCCTCTAGATATTTTTCCTAATAGCAAATAATCTCGGAGATCTTAGTGCGTTTTTTTAATGCCAAATAGTCTATGAAACTCATAGTGTCTTCTTTTAATGTCAAAGTATGTAAGGGATCTCAAATACCTTTTTTTAAATGCCAAAGAATCTCGGGGACCCTTAGAGTGTTTTTTTAAATACCAAAGTGTCTCGGGAATCCCTAGCGTATTTTCTAAGGGCCAAAGAATCTTGGGGACCCTTAGAAAAAAATCTCCGGAGCCGCCAGTGTCTTTTTAAATGCCAAGAAATCTCAGGGACCCTTGGAGCGGTTTTTTTAAATGCCAAAGTGTCTCGGAAACCCCTAGTGTATGTTATAAATAGCAAATCTTGGAGATCTTAGTGCGTTTTTTTTTTAATGCGAAATACTCTAGAAACCCATAGTGTCTTCTTTTAATGCCAAAGTATGTCAGGGATCCCTAATGTCTTTTTTTAAATACCAAAAAATCTCCGTAGCCGCCAGTGTCTTTTTGAATACCGAGAAATCTCGGGGACCCTTTGAGTGTTTTTTGAAATGCCAAAGTGTCTCGGGAACCCCTAGTATATTTTCTAAGGGACAGAGAATCTAGGCGACTCATAGTGTGTATTTTATTTAATGTCAAATCTCGGAGGGACTCTGCTGTCTTTTTTTAAATGCCACAAAATCTCAGGAAACCCTAGTATATTTGTTTTTGTGGCAAAGATTGTCAAAGGTCCCTAGTGTCTATTTTAAATACTAAAAAATCTTAGGAGCCCCAGTGTCTTTTTAAATGCCAAAGAATCTCGAGCATCTCTGGTGTATTTTTTTTTTAATACAAAGATATATCGGGAAACCCAAGTATTTTCTAAGTGTCAAAGTATCTTGAAAACCCTTAGTGTCTTTTCTTAATGCCAAAGATTATTACTTGTTTATAATGCGCACATTCCTCTTTTTCCAAAATTAAAAACTGTAAGTTGTGCTTAATTTAGTGCTTTTACGTAAAAAACGCATAAATTAAACACTTAATACGACTGAAATCGAGAATGGATTAGGGTAGCGAGAGTAGTATATTTTTAAATTCCAAAGTATGTCGGGGATCCTTAATGTCTTTTTTTTTAAGTGGCGAAGGATCTCGGGGACCCTTAGAGTGTTTTTTTAAATGCCAAAGTGTCTCGGGAATTCCTAGTGTATTTTCTAAGTGCCAAAGAATCTGGACTTAATGTGTTTTTTTAAATGCCAAAGTGTCCCGGAAACCCCTAGCGTATTTTCTAAGGGACAAAGAATCTAGGGGACCCTTAGAAAAAAAAATCCGGAGCCGCCAGTATCTTTTTAAATGCCAAGAAATCTCGGGGACCCTTAGAGAATTTTTTTTTAATGCCAAAGTGTCTCGGGAACCCCTTGTATATTTTCTAAATAGCAAATCTTGGAGAACTTAGTGCGTTATTTTAATGCCAAATACTCTAGGAATCCCATAGTGTCTTCTTTTAATGCCAAAGTATGTCAGGGATCCCTAATATCTTTTTTTAAATGCCAAAAATTTCCAGAGCCACCAGTGTCTTTTTGAAAACCGAGAAATCTCGGACACCCTTTGAGTGTTTTTTGAAATGTCAAAGTGTCTCGGGAACCCCTAGTATATTTTCTAAGGGACAGAGAATCTAGGGGACTCATAGTGTATATTTTATTTAATGTCAAATCTCGGAGGGACTCTGCTATCTTTTTTTAAATGCCAGAAACTCCCAGGAACCCTTAGTGTTTTTTTTAGTGGCAAAGATTGTCAAAGGTCCCTAATGTATATTTTAAATACTAAAAAATCTTAGGAGCCACCAATGTCTTTTTAAATACCAAAGAATCTCGAGCATCTCTGGTGTAATTTTTTTTTAATACTAAGATATGTTGGGAAACCCAAGTGTATTTTCTAAGTGTCAAAGTATCATGAAAACCCTTAGTGTCTTTTCTTAATGCCAAAGATTATAGTAGATTTTTAAATGCCGAAGTATGTCAGGGATCCCTAATGTCTTTTTTTAAGTGCTAAAGAATCTCGGGGACCCTTAGAGTGTTTTTTTAAATGCCAAAGTGTCTCGGGAATTCCTAGTGTATTTTCTAAGTGCCAAAGAATCTGGACTTAATGTGTTTTTTTAAATGCCAAAGTGTCCCGGAAGCCCCTAGGGAACCCTTAGTGTGTGTGTTTTTTTTAATGCCAACTCTCGGAGGGACACTGCTGTTTTTTTTTAAATGGCAGAAAATCTCAGGAAACCATAGTGTTTTTTTTAGTGGCTAAGAATGTCAAGGGTCCCTAGTGTTTTTTTTTAAATAACAGAAAATCTCGGGAAATCATAGTGTGTTTTTGTAGTGGCAGAGGATGTTAAGGTTTTCTTGTGTCTTTTTTAAATGCCAAAAAATCTTAGGAGCCCCCAGTGTTTTTTTAAATGCCAAAGAATCCCGAGGATCTCTGCCGTCATTTTTTTATGCTAAGGTGTTTTGGGAGACCCTTGAGAATTTTTTAAATTCCAAAGAAGCTGGGGAACCTTAGTGTTTTTTTTTTAATATCAAAGTATCTAGTGACTTTTTTTAAATGTACAAGAAGTAGTTTCTAATGCCAAAGAAGCTCGTGTTTTTTAAGAACATGAAACAATCTCGGCAACCTCTAATGTTTTTTTTTTTAAGAATTTGAAAGAAGCCCAATTTTTTGACCGCTGTAAACGAACTTTGATGTAGTATAGGGTCTATTTTGCTTTAAAACATCGATAAGAGAATCCAAATTAAAGATCAACATAAAATAATAATACAGGAAAGAGTTAAGAACCATTTCATTTTAAACATACACCATCCAAAATTTTTTTATGTACAAACAATATCAAACTTTACACTGCGCTGAGATTCCTACAAGGAGACATCAAAGCCTCAAAAAGCCCATAAACGACATCCTTCGTCTTCTGGTTCTTACAACCACCCCCAAGACCGTCTCGGATACACTCCATGTAGCTATTGGCAACCCTAAAACCAACGAACTCATCCCACAACCCCGTCCGACCACCCCAAAAATACTCACGCGCAAGTTTCAGCCTTCGTCGGACCATGTTCACTCTGTGCATACTTTCCCACAAACTGATTCACCTTCTCCTCGCACACTTGATCACTTTGCTCCGGAGGCTCCCAAAAGCACGGATTCGCCAGTTCTGCAAAAACCCAATTATCAACGAGTCCTCGCAACCAAAGCTCCAACAACCGAAAATCGACTCTCCGGTTTGCTTGCACAAGAACCCGGCAACGGAAACCAGAGCTTTGAGAGCCATAGTGGGAAGAGCTCTGGCCATTGGCGGCAGACAGTCGTCGAACACCCGAATTAGTTGCTTGGTGCAGTTCAGGTTTGAAGTTTCGATGGTTTGGCAAATGGTCAAAGAGTCGTCGGATTTGTCGTCACATTGCTGGTACGCTTTGATCCCGGCTTTGAGCTTCTGGGTCACGCCTGGGCATTGTTGTTCGAGCTTTCCGAGGCCCGCCTTGATGTAGTGTTTGTTTTCGGCAAGGAGCTTTTTGACCTGTTTGGACTTGACGTTGTCGATGATGTCTTCGCTGGAGTCGCTTCTGACGCTGTCGATAACTGCAAATTAAAAATTATTAAAGTGATTTTTAATTTTTTTTTTGGACTTACCAACGACTAGGGCAAAAGCGACGAAAATGTATTTGTTCATCTTGTTCAGCTCGACTGTTGCCCAAAATTTTAAGATATCTCTTTATATAAGAAACCACCTCTAGTTATTATCGAATTAAATTTAGGTGAAAGGTTATCGATTTTGCAATGTAAATACACTACATTGTATGGTATTTTTTATTGCTTTTCGACGTTTCGTATTTACAAAAAATAAAATCACGTTGAACTGTCTAAATAGTTGTTTATTAAAAACACAGATAGTATGTATTCCAAAAATTAAACTTCGTTAATGTGACTACAAGGTGCCACAATGGCGTCGAAGAGCCCAAGCACCGCATCCTGGGTCTTCTGGTTCTTGCACTGCTTATGGACATCTTCTTTCAGACAAGTCCTCAAGCTAGTGGCAGTGCTGTAAACCAAAACCCGTTACTACCATTCGACCACACCGCCGTAGTTCCAGAATACTAACCTACAAATTTCGCTCTGTGTGGGAATAGTATTTTCGTCGCCGAATTTTTCAGCCAACGCCACTGCTTTCTTTTCGCATTCATTCTCCGTCTCTTCGCCTCCTTCCGTTTCGTCGTCCTCCCATAAGCACGGATTCACCAGTTCTAGACAAACAAATCAGCTGAGTTAGCTCAACGTAGTACCAACGTACCAAAAATGCTCTCTCCGGTTTGTTTGCACAAGAAATCAGCTACAGAAAGCAGACTCTTGACACCCAACGTGGGCAAACCCTTAGCTTTCTGGGGCAAACAACCATCCACCACGTCCAGCAAGGGTTTCGTACAATTCAAAGTGTGGCTTTGAATTGCGTGACAAATAGTCAAAGAGTCGTCGACTTTGTCGTCGCATTCTTGGAACGACTTGATGGCGTGCTAAAAACGAGTTGGGTTAGAGTTGGCTACGATTCCAACAAAACCTACTTTCAACTTATCGCCAACTCCCGGGCAATGTTTCTCCAATTTCTCTAACCCTTCGTCCAGGTGCTCTTTGTTTTTTGTCAGGAGTTTTTTGACATGTTTTGACTTGACGTTTTCTATGACTTCTTCGCTGGAGTCGCAAAGGGCGCTGTTAATAACTAAAGGAAACAAATTTGACAAAAAGTACAAACTAGAGTTTCACTCACCAGCAAAAATGGCAAAGACGACGAACACTAACTTCATGATGATTTTGTTGTCTCAAAAGATACACTTAAATGCAGACTTGATGCGTTCTCTTTATATAAGTGTGTTCACGATTGCAACAAAAAAATATTACTTATTTATGAAAAAAGGTTATCGGCGATTATTCAACGTACAAACATATTTATCATCATTTTTCGTTAATTAACTTCTTCATTATTATCTTTACGCACTGTATCTTTTCAATGTACATTTATACTAAAATCAAAATATTGTTTCTTTATTTCATAACAAAACAGACAAACCTGACTTAAGTAGACAAGGTGTAAACGAGAACTGTGATTCGTCGTTTCGTGGACTTTAAGAACAATTCCAAGTCTACTTAAATCAATGTAGGTACGTGATGTTTTTAATAAAAATTACTATAATTGTTTAATCAAAAGTCTGGTGTTTCCCAAGAAACGAGATAATGCCCAGACTGCTGAATTAACATTTCCATATCTTATCCAAAATGTCGACTGATGCAAGTTTTTAGCAGATAAGTGATGCAGTTTTTCACAAATCCACTTAATGTTTAAACAATAGTGTTGATGATATTTTCTAGAAAAATATACCAATATTTTTCGTTTTAATGTTTGTTTACTGCAAAGTCAATTTTTATATTTACATAATTGTTAAACAAAATAACAATATTAGATACACTGAAGTTCATCAGGTTATAGGTTACAATTAAAAACACAGATATAACAATGTTTTCGAAACAATTTGACACAAAAATAATATTCGATTGTAAATATAGTGTCAAAAACACATCCAAGAACATTTTTATCTCCCTTTATCTGCGAGTTTTTTATTCCTTGCATGCTAATTTTGTTTTATTTTTCGTGGCAATATTTCAAACTTCACCTCTGTTTTCAATTAAACTTTATCAACTTTATCAATTTATTGTTTATAAATTCGTACCAAAATAGGCGTCTTATTAACATCTCGACCTTTAAACTTTGTGACTGCAATGAACTCCTGACCAGGACGAGTCACAATATTTGTAAATTTTTCTTCAATTAGCTGGAAAAGTTTGTTGAATTTATTGTGGAACATTTTTGCGAAAAGATGTAAGCAAACACATAAATTACGAATAAGTCAAAGATTACTGTGAAAGTTTGCCATAGTTTTGATTTAATTATCATTTACTATCAGATTTGGCTATTACCTTAATTAATAATAAAATTAGTTTGAAGGCAGTGATGACCACTGTGCACAAGTTGGTAATGTTGGTTGCCTATATAATTGTGTGTAAATAATAAAATAATGAAACGGAACCAAAATTCAAACAGTAAAAGTTTATTTAAGCATTATTATGATTACTAGAAAGTGTAAAAGAACATAAATTACAATTATTAAAACAGTTCACTACAAATCATAACCTCAATTTGAACGTTGGCGTATTGCTGGTTGCATAACCAAAATTAATTTTGAATCAAACCTAACGTTTTGTCTGTCAAAAACATATCAACCTCAATTTATTGCATAATTGTGTCAATGAAATGTTGGGTAACTAGTATTTCAAACATGCACAGTATCAAGGATTTATTTTAAAAATTGGGAGCAATGTTGGTTGCATAACTTAGCAAATATTAAGTCTGAATTAATTTATATTTACAACCAGTACAACAGATTCACAACGATATAATCTGACAGAGATTCTATGAATTTTTATTTATTTAAATATATTACACAGTCATAGCTAAAATACGCTAAAAAATCACTCATGACTCATATTGTTAAAATTATATTTGATTCATAATTTTAAACCACTTCGTCTACTAAAAAGCTTCCACCACCTCGTTGACGGTGTTGTACTCAATCTGGTTACTCCCACGATTGTTGCATGGGGCAGTAAGAGCGTCAAACATCCCCATGAACGACTCCCTGGTGATTCCATTCCCACAAGACTCCTGCAGATGGTTATGCAGACACGGCTTCATCGACTGCGCCAATTCGCAGATCTCGGTCTTAGTCGGCGGCTTATTCTTGAACTGTTGCAACTTCGTCCTCACTCTGCGTTCGCACCTCATCGAACGATAATTATTCTTGAAGATACACGTGTTGGCGAATTCTGCAAAAATCAGTTAAAATCGCACTTAAACACCTACCACTACTCACCGAAGATGTGCTCGCCGTCGACCTTGCAGACGTAAGCCACCCCGGAATTGATCGCCTCGAACACCAGTCTCGGAATTTCTCTGGATTCTTCAGGCAGGCAGCTTTCGAACAACTCGATGAACGGCTTCGAGCACCGCAGGAAGTGGTTTTTGATAGCGGAGCAAGCCGTTTCGGCGTTCTCGTCGACTTCGTTAGAGCATTGTTTGAGCTTAGTTAGGGCTTCCTGGAACGTTGGGGTGAGAAGGGGTTGTGTGAAAGGGGAGACTTACGTCTAGTTCGTCGTCTTTTCCGGGGCAGATGCTTTCCATTTGGGTGCGAAGGCGCTCAATCTGGCTGCGTTCTCGCAGGTATTGCATGTATTTGGAGGTACTCATGCTGGTGTCGGAGGTGCGGTAGGACGGGGAAAGGTAGCATGTTGCTACATTGATGACTGGAAAAATGGTCAAATTTTATTCTACGTTTCGGAAAATATGGCGCCAGGAGATAGCTTGAGGTCAATTTGATAACTGAACTTTGAATCATGCGCCAATGATGGTGAAATCGATTTTTAGAAAGGTTTACAACCCCTTTTTGAATTTTTTTGATTTCTTTTTCAGATCATTTATTTTAACCGTAGAAGTAGCATAAAAATATTTACCCGCAAATAGTCCGATAATAGCGACAACGATTTTCATTTTGAAACTCTTTGATAAGCTTGTTAACACCAACTAAAAATTTCCGGCACAAGCATGTGTATTTATAATGTGTGCTGCACCATGTTTATGTTTATGGAAGATAACATGTAATTATAAGCATGATCACCGACTCCATCCATGTGTAGGGTCACCCAGTGATAATAATTCTTGGATTTGTTTATAAAATTAAGAAATTATCACCAACACGAAAAACCCAGCAACTGCGTCACTTTTGAAAACACATATAAATCTAATTAGTTTTTCCTTTTTAGTTAGAAACAAAATTTGAATAGCAAGCAATTCCAATTTCTAAATTGGTTTTCATTTCGTTTTGTGTGAATCAAGTAATGAATATCAAAATTAAAGCAACGAATTAAGTCCCCAGTGAAAATTTCGACGTGGCTGATTATCCCCTCAGGACTTCACTGTCAAAGGCAAAGTCAAAAGCGTATAACGATAAAGATTTGAAAAACATCACTCTTATCGAAATGTTTGTGTTTCACAACTTGCTACGAAACGGTTTTATTGTGGCAAAATTAACACTAGTCCTTGGAATTTTCAGCTACTCACTTCGCCAAGAACTTAAGTGCTTTTATCAATCAGGGTCTGATCAATATTTTAAAGTCAAACTGACTTTGAACACCACGATGTCGGTAATAATGACTTTATTTTTGATAATCAGTACAATAAAGTCACTGCAAGACAAACATAGCGTGGACTACAGTACAGGGTGGCCACAAATACTTATTTTTCATGTGACTGGGCGTATCGTTTTTGACGTTACGAGTCAAGACGATTGGGCCCGAACGTTACAAACACAACTGATTATTTATGTTGGCGAATTTACACTGTGTGTGTTATTTATGGATATGTTCAAATTTTTATTAAGTATAAGAAAATCGATAAATTCGATCAATGAGGAAACAAAGCAGCTGTCAGTATTAGTAAAGGAGCAACAATTTAACCACTTCAAGTTGCAAAATGTGGACAATTTAATTCATAAACACAACGAGTGTTTAGAAATGATCGAATCATTCAACTCCGTTTATGGTGTCCAAATTATCCTGACAATTTCAACCGTGTGTGGTCACTTGGTGCAAAGTGTCCACACTGTATACAACGAAAACGAAGTGCACAACAAACACCACTTGCGTA